AAATCCTAAATTATTAAGTTTGAGGTTTAATAAAATGAGTGGTTACTTTGAAAGATATTAAACAAAAATGTATCAATTAAATATGAGTTTTTCTATTATGTTTAATGAATTACAAAACTCTTCTAATAATAATGATCCTCTATTACTGTAAAAACAAGGTTTTGTTTAGGGGTGGGTATGCGGACCGGTCCGGCCCGTTTAAGGCCCGGTCCGTGAAGTCCGCATTTTTAACGGGCCGGATAAATCCGGTCCGCGAAATAAATGGACTTAAATCTTCAAGTCTGTATCCAGCCCGTGAAGCCCGCGGATAAACGGATAAGTCCGCGGGCCCAATTAAATCTAAATTGTTTAAATGAATATTGACTCAGATTTTAAATTTTTTTTCCTTTATTTAACCTATGAAAACATGAGGAAAAAAAAACATATAAAATAATATAAATATATTTCTAATAATAACATCAAACATTGTAAATAATAAATCAAAGTCTTAAATAACAAAGTTTACACATTCTAAATTTCTAATAGAAATATTTAAGTCTCAATGCCTTTAAAATTTAAAGTCCAAGCATACCAACTATTAACCAAATATTAAAGCCTTACTACCTTAAAACTTTAAAAGTCTTAATACACAACCAAACAAATATAAAACATTTGTAAGTCCAAGTACATCAAAGTCTAAATACCTTAAAACATCAAAGTCTTAATTAATATCTTAAAAACAAACATAAAATATTTGTAAGTCCAATTACATCTATCAAATATAATCAAGCATCTTCAATAATAAAATTTGAGTCCACATTTAAACGGGTAATCCGCGGGCTCGCGGATTAAATCCGCAAAATCCGCGGACTAAACGGGCCGGACCTAAAAATAATACACAACCAAACAAATATAAAACATTTGTAAGTCCAAGTACATCAAAGTCTAAATACCTTAAAACATCAAAGTCTTAATTAATATCTTAAAAACAAACATAAAATATTTGTAAGTCCAATTACATCTATCAAATATAATCAAGCATATTCAATAATAAAATTTGAGTCCACATTTAAACGGATAATCCGCGGGCTCGCGGATTAAATCCGCAAAATCCGCGGACTAAACGGGCCGGGCCTAAAAAGTCCGTATGATTATACGGATTAAAAAAAATGAGTCCGTTATCCATTAAGTCCGCGGACTTACGGACCCAAATTTTTTTCTTTCTTCACTTGTCCTCAACTATTTTGACAATTGTTAACTGACGTTCATTTTCAATAATGCTTCAAACCATTATTGTTTCGTAGAAATGAGTTTCATATCTCACACAAATTAGTTTTGCTAATGAAATGGAATAAGTCAATAAGAGTGGATAAGAAAAAATAAGTCATTTAAATGTCACTTCAATTATTTTAAAATTAAATTCAAAATTAAAACCTTATTTTATCACGAGTTTAAATTTACTTAATTTATAATTATTGCATGTCAATTAGAAGAAAAAATACATATTAACATGATAATTAACTATTAAGTAGTCATAAGATTGACAAAGTTAACAAATAAATATAATAAAAAGATTAGCTTGTATAACAAAATTAAAATTTAAGGAATAAAATGTCAAAAACAAATCTGTAAAAAAATTATCGACAAACTCTACAATCTTTCCGAATTAAATTGAGTATTTCTTTCATGTTGGACCACATTCATATTGTCGTTGATGTAAGACAACGTATAATGCTTTGTATTAACTTAACTCTTAATTCAAAATAAAATAAAAAGTAACCTATGTTAAAACTCTTCGTAATGAAAAAAAAAAAAAAAACAAACACACACACACTAAAGTCCTGTTTCGCGTGTTTTAATTTTTTGAATTTTAAATGTACTCGAAGGTTCATCTCATTATCCACAATATTTTCTTTCTCATAAATACCAAAAGAAGATTAGCATTCATTCAAAGCCACATACATTGTCATTGACGTAGACAACTTACATTTAGTACTTGATAGTTTATCATAATTCAAGGATTAAATAAAAAATATAATGAAAATAAAAATACTCAAGAGAAACTAACACCTATGAGATATAAAATTAAACGCATAATAAATCGGCAAAAAATAATTAAAAAGTAACCTAGGTTAAAACTCTACGCAAAGGAAAAATCAAGAAAACACTTGAGTCTTGTTCAGAGTGGTTGCATGTTTTTTTTTTTTTTTTTTTTTTTTTTTTTTTTTGTACTAGAAGGTTCATCTTTTTATATATTATTATTATTATTATTATTATTATTATTATTATTATTATTATAGTTAGAATAGAAGGCTCATCTAGTTATTCACTATACTGTCTTTCATCTTGTAAATACCATTAATTAGAAGATTAACCTTCATTCTGTACCACATACATTGTCATTGACGCAAGACAACATGCACCTATAGTAAGTACTTGATAGTTAGTTAACCTTTTGAGAAACTTGATATTTAACTTTAGTCAATTCAAAAAGTTAAATAAAAAATATAAAGAAAGTAAAAATAATCAAAGAAATTAACACCTATTAAAAAAAAATTAAATAAATAATAAATCGAAATTATAAAAAGGAAAAATCAAGAAAAAACTAAGGTCGTCGGGATGTGAGTTTTTAATTATTTGGTTTTTAAATGTACAGTCTACTTGAAGGTTCATCTCGTTATATCCACTACATTTCATCTGTTAAATATCAATCAAAAGTTCACCTTCATCTTGCACCACATACATTGTCATTGATGTATGATAACGTATAATATTTGATTGTCATTACATTAACTTAACTCATTCAACAAATTAAATAAAAAATATAAAGAAAATAAAAAATAATCAAGAGAAAACCTATTCAATAAAAAATGAAACGCATGAAAAACGCATGAAAAATTGAAAATAAATAAATAAATAAAAAGTAACCTATGTTAAAACTTTCTTAATGGAAAAATGAAGAAAATAGACACAAACCCTTTTCAGGTAGTTTGGGTTTTGTTTTTTTTTTTTTAAATGCAATTTTTTAAAATTGTGTTCGATTAAATAGAGCTGAAATTATTTTTAACTAATTTCACAACATTTTTACTTTCTATTTCAATACTTGGATTTTTTTTATTTTAAATTTGGTTTAGTTATAAAAAAAAAACTTATTATTTTTGACATGATATTATCATCACCATTATCATCAATCACTACTAGAATTTCTCTTATTACATGCGGTTTTTCCTGCGAATTTTTCATAAAAATTTGCAGGAAACGTTGTTCCTGCAAATTTTTTTGCAAAATTTTATTTACAGGTAATACCTTCGTGGATAATATATTTTTGCGAATTTTAAAATTCGTAGGAAATATTCCTGCAAAATTTCTTGCGAAAAAAATTCGCAGGAAAGTTTCCTGCAAAAAAAAATTTGCAGGAAATTTTCCTGCAAAAAAAAGTTCGTAGAAAAATTCGCAGGAAACTTTCTTGCAAATTTTTTTGCAAGAAATTCTACAAGAATATTTTTTACGAATTAATGAAATGAAGTATCAAACGATTTTTAAATTTTTTTAAAAATTTAAATATTTGATCTATGTATTAAGAACTTTAAATTCAACGGTTGAATCGTTAAAATTGATGTAAACCAATATATCATGAATTCTACATTTAAATGTGTAAAATACATTTTGTTAAGAAATTTGTGACCGAACATTCCTTATCTAACTGGTTCCGCCACAAATTTCATTGTACATATTTATTAAACGAACTAAATAGAGAACATTATTTATTACTATTGTTGTTTTATATATTCGAAACAGAAAGGATAAATTAGTTAAAAAAAGTTGTGGTTGTTGGAGCATAATCGTAATAGACAAAGGACATACTGTGAAGTATTTATACCTACACATAAAGAAAATATTTCATTTGATAACTTTATTTTTAGTTTTTTTTTTTTCTTAGATATCTTTATAATTTGGTTTCCGTAATTTCTAAGATGATCACTTACTCTCCGTATAAACAAAACACTCACTTTCAATTATTTGTACAGTTACTTTCAAATCTTAATATTTTTTCTTTTTCTCTTGCAACTACCTTTCCAAAACTATTTTGCTAAAAAGTAATAGTTCCTATAATGGGAAAATGCATGTGTTGGTGTGCATGAGTGAAAAATAAAATGAAGAAAGGGAAAG